GGGGGGGAAGCTGTGTGTCGGTCAGCAGGCGGATGGGTGAGCTGGGTGGGGTGCGGGGATGCCCCACTCAGCCTGGGCACGCCAAGTGAGCCAGCCCGCCACCCCAGGGCCCACTGCAGGGCTCACCCCCAGAGCACCTAGAGGACTCGTTCATGGAGACGGAGTGGTAGTGCCTGGCTGCCGGCCTGGGGTGGGGCAGGAGACGCTGAGTGGGACGGTTCCCGGTTTGCAGGATGAAGAGTTCTGGAGCTTCTCTGCATAGCGAGACTGTACAGACGATACTGAGCCCTGCGCTTCAGAATAGCCCTGATGCTCAGGGTTTTTAAAAGATGTTTAGAATTATTTATTTTCTATTATTTTTAATTTGCTATAGGGCACGTGCACTTACCAGAGAGAGAGAAAGTGAGAAAGTAAGCCACCAGGTTTGGGACTTGAACCGCAGATGGCCATGTGGGAGTAGAACATCTTAACCACCACACCACCTGCTGGCTCCAGGACACTCAGTTTGACGTGTATTTGATCACAGTTTATTTTGTAATGGAAGAGAGGAAAGGGAAGGGAGAAGGAGTCTTCCCTTCCTCGTTCATCGTTCTCTGTAGGGGGTGCCCCTGCCATCCCCTCTGCTGAGGCCTGAGTCTGGAGCAGTGTTGCAGTGGGAGGCTGTGGTCCCTGAGCACCAGGAATGTCTAGCGGTCAAGTGGGCAGTCACCTCAGAATGCTGAGAGAAGCAGGGAGGTTGCTGGGCAAGAGTGTCCACCAGGGCTTGCAGGATGCTCCTCTCCAAATGGCCCCTGCCCTGCCCTCTCTCCTCCTTGCCCCAGCACAGGGAGAGCCTGTACATCCTTGTGGCCAGGAGGGGTGATGTGAAGCTCTGGCCAGTGGGTTCTGAGCAGAAGAGTGGTGAGGCACTCCTTCCTCAGCTGTGGTGATGGGCTATGTCCAGGCGACCTGCCAGCAGGTGGACAGCAGCATGGAAGGGATGGGAACCTGCGTCAGTGGGTGCCCCTGAGACAGGGGGGAGGGGTGGTGGTGGTGCTGCTGCTCGTTCCTGCAGCTTGGCCTCACTTAACCCCACTTGACCCCTCTGCACTCATTTTCCCAATGCCTTGGCAGGTGGTCCAGGGTGGGTGAGGGCGGAGCTGGGGGCTCCACACAGGCAGAGTAGAGCAGACCTCCAGGTATGACCCTGAGTGGGTCTCTGTGGGATAGTGGGCAGGTCACCCCATCTTCAGTGTCCCCATCTATAGCAAGGATCTTTCCAGAAATAAAATTCTGCAGCTGGGGGTATTTCTCAGCCTGTCTGTGAACACACAGGAAAGGCCATGTGTCATGATCTCCTAGGGACCAGTGTCCCTGAGGAAGTAGCTCACAGGTGAGGACGTCATGGGCAGACATGCACCTGATGGTTCTGACCTGAAGGTGGTGCTGGCTTAACAGTAAACGTGGTCTCACCGGGACCTCTTCGCCTCATTGGCTGATGTGTTGTGGAGAGCTCCAACTGTTCCAACGGCTGTCCACGTGATCCACAGGAAGACTTCTCGCGTTGACATGCTGTTCACGTGCCAGCCTGTGTTTGGCGAGGAGGTAGAGCTGGTGGCATAAAATATGAGGATGTGGTCAGGCAAGGCCCTTATTTGGAGGCCCTTGGAGATGCTGGTAGCTTAAGCAGAGAAATTTATTCAAGGACACTGGGAGCTCCTGAGTGGCCAGGAGGGGGTCTGAGTTCAGGCCTGGCTTCCAGGAGCAATGCTACAGATCACTGGGTGCAGCAGGGCTGGTCTGCAGGAGAAACAGACACTACCAGGGCCAAGGTCATGGCTGTCACACAGGGTGCTCAGTTGCACTGAGCTAAATTCGTGACCGTCCCCAGCAGCAACTCCAACCGTGTCCTGGGCACTTACCCTTATAGCCACTGCACTCCTTCACACCCAGCACCCAAGCTGCCCATCACTATAGCCACCCTCTCCAGCGTGATGAATTTCA